CTCCACCTGCAACGGCAGCATCCTCTGGATCCCGGCGTTCATGGCCAAGGGGGGCAAGGAGCGAGTGGAGTGGGTGAACGAGCTCATCCTGAAGCACCACATCAACGTGAGGACTGCCTACCCCTCGCTGCGCCTGCTGCACGCTGTCCGAGGGTGAGGGCATCTCTGGTGTGCTCAGAGCCAGGAGCTCCTGAGCTGGGAAGGGAAAAAAAACCATCCATGGGTTTGTGCTAGAGGCAAATGGCACAAGCTGGTTCTTTCTGCGGATCACGAGGAGGACTTCACGGGTGGTGGCTGGTCCCTAGATGAGAACTGGAGACCACCAGCCCAGCAAGCAGGGGCTCCTCACTCTGCTGTTGGAGTGTGGGAGCTTCTAGGTGTGCAACATAGCGACCCCAAACCTTCCAGTGCCTTCCTGGGTGTCACACGGAGAGCTCCCCAGCCTAGGGTTAGGGCTTTCCTTGGGGAAACGTGTCTGCTGAGCTAGCAGTGAGGTTGGTCACCTTGTGCTTGGGTGACACCTGCAAGTCTCACACATCTCCTCGAGTCAGGGAGATCATGGGCACCTGTAATGGTGCTGCTTGCACTGCTCATCTGAAATGACCTGCCAAGGCAGGGAGGGGGCTGATGTGGTCTGGTCCTGCTGATCAGATAAATAGAGCCAGGTGCTGGGGAATGAACTTCTTGAGAGAGAGGGAAGGAAGGAAGGAAGGAGACTTTCTGCTCTCCTCTTGCAACTCCAGGTGTGTGGGAGACACAGGTGTTGTGTGGATGAGGAGGTTATAAAAGGAAGAGAGCCTTAAAAGTGAGACTTCCATGTATATGGCTTGGAGAGGAGGTAAGCTCTTGTTGTCTTGCTTTATTTCTCATGGGAGAATCATGATTCATTAAGGATTGAGGGAGTCTAGGCAGGCAGTGGCCTATGCTGGAGATAGTTTAGTGGTGGTAGTTGCCTGCTCTGATCCTGACTAGACCCTGTGGATCTCCCAGGATGGGAATTCACTCATGTAGCTGGTGCTCCCAACCTCTAAGCCTCAGCATTAATGTTTCTTGACTGCTTTGAGGACTTCTTCCCCTGCACAGCTCTGAGCCTGAGCTCTTCTGGTCGCTTGGTCTGTGTCGGGTGTTGTTCTGTCCCAGCTCAGGTTGTGTGTCAGTGCAGGGGGTGGGTGCAAGGCAGATTTTGGGGTCATTTCCTGCAGTTGAGAGCTTAAGGGGTTGCTCTGGAGAGAGAGAGAGAGGTGTGAAAGGTGGCTCTGGAGGCAGCCTGGGAGGACTGGAGGCTCTGGTGTTGTGGTGCATCACAGGCAGAAGTGATGGGTGAGAAGAGCCAAGTCTGCCCCCAGTCCTGTGTCTGAGGCTCCCCTGGGCTGGAGAGGCCTCTTAAAGAAGATGCTGGCTTTGAGGTAAAGAAAAGGAAGGGAACAATACCACAGCTCACAGAAAGGAAGGAGAGGAAGGGAAAAAAAAACCCACAACCCAAATTCTGAGCTATTTCTAGCTGTAATTGACTTACTTTCATCTGTCAAAATAGAATTAAGCTCCTGTAATAAGCCCTTTAAATCAACAGGCTGCTAATCCTGTGCTGGCAGGCATTCCCAGTGCCAGAAACTTCCCATAGGAAGCTTTGTGGAGGGATTGGCAAGGACTGGGCATCACTTTCCCACGGGAGAGGAGGAGGAGGATGCCTCGATAAGCTCTGCTGACGAGCTTATCTTCCAACTCGTGGCACCTTCCTGGCCCCCTGTGCTGCAGCCCTGTGGCCCAGCTGGGCTGGCTGGCTCTGGTTCTGCCTGTGCATCTCTCACAGAGCAGGGCTGGAGCCACCACCCGTGGCTGGAGGGGATGCAGGGATTTTGGGACAAGCCCAGGGGTCAGTGCTGTCTCTCGGTGCATGGAGTGATGCACCACTCTCTCCAGGGCTCAGAGTTGTGTCTGTCTTGTGCACACATTAGTGTTCCCGTGGGTTTTGATGGGGTCCTGTGCAAGGAACATGGGTTCAAGCTTCTGAAAACCTGCTGAGGCTCAGAGGGATGCAACCATTCAGGACATGAAGGGAGTGAAGTGGCTGCTGTTGGAGGGTGGCTGGGATTGATGTGGGACCAGCACGTGGTCAGGTGCTGATGAGGAGCTCCAAGTGCTCAGTCTGAGCCACAGCTGAGACCCCCATCCTGTCCCTTGGGCTGGTCACCACACTGTGGGGCAGTGGGGAAAGGTGGGTTGTGGCTCCATGGGAGCAGCACTAATTCAATTATAACCACAGAAGCCTGTGCTAATCCTCGTCAGGGGAGCTGCTGCCTGACCTGCCCTCCTGCTCTCACACTCATCCGCAGGAAAACAAGGATGCCTACTAATTAACAATTAATAGGACTAAAACTGCAGCCCCCTCAGAAAGCCAGAACTGAGGGGAACACTTCAACACTTACCCAGTGTGCTGTGGCCTGCCCAAGGAGCTGTGCAGAGGGACCCCAAAGGGCTGGGTTGGGCTGGAGGGAGGCTGGAGTCAGTGTAAACCCTCTCCTTGGTGCAGCCTCCTCAGGTCTGGACTTGGATGGATTTCAGAGTGATTCAGGCAGCACTGAGTGAAGTGGCCACAGCTAAAGGAGGGTGGTGTGTGCTCGTGCTTCTGGTGCTCTATGGGAACTCTCTCAGGTACCTGGAGGGTTGTCTTGACCATGTGCTCAGGGTAATGGATATGATGTCGTTGGGGATGAAGGAATCTTTCCTCAGGTCAGACTGACCAGAATCACTAGGAGTTGCCTTGCTCATCTTTTGTGATAGTCTAATTCCTATCATCATTCTGTATAGGAGCTCCTTGCTACTACAGGGCTGTGGTCTCCAACGACTTCCTCTGCCTCTCCAGCTCTCTCTGCAGAACATGCCCGTTCATTTCTTTGACAGATCTGAGATTTGTCAAAACAAACACATTTTGTGGCATGCAGCAGAGAACTGATAATCCACAAAGCCTCACAGAACATCCCTCTGTGCTGCAGTGGGCTGCAGCTGCAGAGGTGTCTCATCTTCTTTGCTGGATAAAGCTGCTCTTTGTAATCTATCCTAAGTTGATTTGGAAATCACCAAGAAATGTGGGAAGTCTTTCAGCCAAAACACTCTCTCTCTCTGTTTTTTTTTCCAGGGAATAGCACTTTCTACAAAGGCTAACATCTCAGCCAACTTCAACGGGGCTACAAAAGCTTTGCCTTTTCTCTTCTTCCTTCACTACCAGTGAAACACATTTGTGAGTTCTCAACTCTTCCTTGAACTTCATTGTCCTGCTCTGCTTTCCCCCACGCCAGAATGCATTTCAGTGGCAATTGAGCATTTTTTCCTATAATTTCCAGTGCATTTGGGGCATTTGTAGAGTGTGCGTTGCCGAGATAAGTAAAAAGCATTTGATTTTGTTGTTCTTAACAACATCATTTGAGACATCACCTTCCTAGCCGTGAGGGTGCCTTAAGTGTTTGCTGATAGCTTTTTGTGCAGAGGATTCTGGATAATCTGTGCAATAGGAGGGAGGCTTTTGTTACCTGGTTGAACTCACCGCCTTCATGCCGTCAGTATTTCGATGGAGGAGCTCAGAAGGAAGCCAAGTTCCTACACAAGGCTGAGGAGGAAAGCTGTGCCGTGGCATGGAGCCTGCTCATGGGGTCAGGGCAATGCTTTTTGGGGGTGCACAACTCAATTTGGAGAGATTTTATAAAAGGTCTCCTGAGCAATTCATCTGGCGAGCGCAGTGCTCATCTCCTGGCTGGGAAGCAAGCAAGCCCCGTATAAGTCATCTGTTAGTGTCTCCAAAAAGCCTTGTAATCCCTATTGCCAAGCAGCTTTTGTTAGAGAAATAACATGAAATGCAGGAGGCAGAGGGAAATAATTGTGTCTGAGGGCTTGATGATCGCTCCTTGCAGAGAACTCGTGGGCACGTTTCAGTTTGCCTTGTCTAATCTAGTCTAACATTTCTCACTGTGTCCATCACGAGGGTCTCTTGGCAGTAACCAATTCTAATCCCAGAAGATTTTGTTAAGAGCTTCTTGAAAGAGAAAAAAAAAAATAATAAAAAATCAATAAATCTTCCAGCTCCTTGGCTAGGTCTCCTCTTAGGTTTAACATCCAAATAGCTGTGACAGCTCACACGCACTCTTCACAATAGCCGTCGCCTTGCTCAGGGGCTGTAGCTTGTTGTGCTGCTCTGCCACGTGTCCTCAGAAGTGCCACGTGGTGGCACTTGAGGTGGATTGGTTCATCTTTGCCTCGGATGTCTGCCTGGGTCCTCACACCAAAACAACCCCTAAAGCTTTGCTGCTCTTTCCAGGGCGACGCTGGCGCCTTTCCCCTCCGTCAGCCAGGGTGGAAACCCTCCCCTGGTCCCTCCTCCTTGTGTCCTGGTTGTGCCACCTCCTTTCCAGCAGCCTTTGCCTTGCTTAAGCCATGCAGGGGACACACGTACAGATAAATCTCCTAACCTGTTTTGATTGCACCACTCCCCAGGCTCCCCTCTTCTCTACACATCAAACTTAAGCTGCTGCTTTTCCTTTCTGCAGCCCTCCCAGCTCGTCTTTGCTCACTCTGGATATGAACTCTGATGGTGTTGAGCCAGAGTCAACCACTTGTGAAGCACTTGAGTTAGAAAACTCACACTTCCTCCCTTATGGTGCCTTATGCTTCCAGAGGCTCCTCTGAAATAGCTGCCATGGGGACTTGTGCCTCAAAGCCCTTCTCTGGACCCACAGATGGCTTAAGGACAGCGGTCCTGCACTCAGGTGAGGGAAGAAGATGACCCAAGGGTGTAGGGGGAGAAGATACCTGTTCACAAGCATGGAACTAAGGCAGTATGTCAGGGCCTGTGAATAACCCACAAAGCCACCTCTGGGTTAGATCAGGGGATATCCCACAAATAGAACCTCGTGTGAGCAATTATTCTTGTCCCTTCAGCACTTGAAGCATGTTGTACCTGAGCTGTGGTGTCTGCATGAGGACCCCAAAACTGTTCATTTGGTTTGGTTAATCAAGAAGTTTTAGTCTTTGCCAAAAGAAGGGGAGGAGCATAGGAAGGAGGAAAGAAATGGGGTAACCCTTTTCCCAGCAACTTTCCTCCTCTTTCCTCAGTTTGGAAATGTTTTAACTCAGTGTTGAGTACCACGTGTGTTTGAAAGGGCATCACAGAACTCCAGACCTTGAGGAGAAAAGGGTTATTTATCTGTGACTCATACTGATTTTCTTGGGCCAAGTCACCAAGACCAGACCCAAGCCACACGGTGCAGATCCACTCTGGATAGAGAAGCTCGATTTGGTGTTTGGGCTTTGCCCAGCCTGGGGATAAAGCCCAGCTCTGACTCCAGTTCCAGCCTCTGGTGTCAGCATGAGTCTGGATGGGGACCTGCCTAGTCCCATCCATCCAGCACAGATCTCATCACCGTTCCTGGCTCTTGGCAGTTTTGGTGGAGGTGACAGAGGAGGCTGGATACATGGGCAGAAAAAAGCTGGGGGATGTAGCAGTTGCTCCCTGTGGTCCAGCACCTCCAGCAGGCAGGATGTGTGCCATGCCCAGCACAGTGGGTCCTGTCCTTGCCTGCACCAACAGGAGAGCAGAGCACTGTTGGGGCACTCACTCTGATTATCTGGAGCTGGTTTTTCAGGAGTATTAATGGGAGCAGGATGTGTGGCAGACTGATAATATGCTTCTGACAGTCAAGGACTAGCACCTCCACAACAGCTTGTGTTTGTGTCTCACTTGTATGAATAAGCTGTTTTTAAAAGCATCTGAAATTGCATTATTTCAGCTATTCTGATTTGTATCATGAAATAAGGCAGCTGATACTGCTGAAATCTGATTTCTTCATTGACCTGAGGTTTTTATTCATTTGGTCGCGGCGATGGATTTTCTGTTCTTTTTATCCTGCAGGTTAACCCTTACCTGGAGGGTACAAGTTTTTTCAGACACGTCAGGAGGTGGTGGGCCAGCACAGAGCAGGACCCCTGCTCATGGTCCTCAAATGCTGCCTGCAGGGAGGAGCTGGGCACGCAGTGTTTCAGCCCAAATCAAGGCCAGGCTCTGCTCCCTGCACTCGGTGATGCTGTGGGAGGATAAGCACTGTCAGTGCCGTGGGGTGCATGCTCCAGATGTGAAATTTGGAGGCTGGCACCTTCTCTGGCTCAGGTGGGAGCTGAAGCTTCTTACAGGGTGTTTCAGAGTGGTTTGTCTCCTGGAGAATTCCCACTGGGAATGAATGAATGTTGCTGAGAAGCAACCAGAACCACCTACCTGCTAGGATGAGACTCTGAGCTGGTCTTCTTGAAGCCTCTGTCCTTGGCTACCATCAAGTATTAGTTCAAATAGGTGCTAGGGCTTGTGTCTAGGCTGCCTCCTTGAAAATGATGACCATGAAGATCTGATGGCATTTTTCATCTGTCATGATCATGATCTGAAACAAGAGCTGTCTCAGACAATTTTGGCCTGACAGCATCACGATTCCTGTTGGTAGCTGCATCCCACTCAGGCCCCAGCCTGTCTCTGTAGCTCCTTCCACCCCTGAGGGTTTATTTACAGAAACAACACAGCACCAGCTTTGGAGGGAGGTCCAAGCTGTGAGAAGGGCTCTGAGGAAGGAGGTATTGGGTTTCAGGACTGCTCTTTGCTCTTCTCTTTTAATTGCTGTCTCTTTCCATATAATGTTGCAGTTAATAGTTACGGTGATTGGTGTAGGCAGTTTGAAAAATAATTACTGTCTGCTTCCAGATTATCCTTTCTCCTAATTAAAATCCCGGACCTCACATATTAAAGGTGTGCTGTTGACACAGAATCCCATGTGAGCCCAGACAACCTCATTTGGATTTACAGAATTAATTAGGTTTTATTTCCATCCCCAGCTGTTCTCTACTGCACCAGGAATGTGGCCACGGTCTCAGCTGGCCAGTGGTGGGAGAGGTAAGAGGGAGGTCTTCCTGCATAGCTCCCAGCACAAACCAGTCATTACAAACTGTTCCCTAGACCTCACTGGAGGATTTCCCACCTTCACTGTCCAGGAAACAAATTGCAAGCCCTGTGGCATGGCTTCTGGTGTGGTTTGGGCTCTAATATATATGTATGTCATCTGTGTGGGTGGGCTGGGACAGCCTGGAGTCCATCATACCTCCCAAAGCTGCAGCCAGCAGAGAATTTATGGTGCCGTAGGAGCAAGGTTGGTCACCCTCGTGTTCACAATGTTGTGCCTGCAGTAGAGGGAAATAGAGAGGAGCCAGGGGTTTAATTTTTATTATAAGAAACTGAATTGTCACTGTTCCCTGCCCCATTATTATGGAGTGCTCACGAGCTGCTTGTGCTGAGGGTTCTACCCCAGGTTGGTTTTGGCAGGGCTGCTTTTGGGTACGGGTTGCACACACTTGTTGGCCTTGGTGAGGCTGTCTGTGCCTGCTGGGTTGCAGAGGATGGCACCTCTGTGTTTGACCCAGGACTTTGTCATCATTAACATGCTTCAAACACTGATGGTCCTGTGAGTGTCCTCTACCCATGTGCAAGGGTCACTTCATCATGCTGGCAAGGTCATTGCATGTTCATTGAGTTTTTACAGCCTCTCAACAACACCCAAAAGTTCGTATTTTGGGGGGGGCATAAGGTCACCAGTGTATTTCTGTGCTCCAGCTGGTAAACTGACAAAAGGAGAGTTTTAAGGCCTGAAAGAGCTGCAGGACAAACCCAGGCAGTTGTCCTCCCCCATAGCCAGCTGGTTCATGGGCTGGATGGTTCTTCCCAGGTAGTTTCTCTGCTGCATAAGGATACTCTTAACTGACAGTGTTAAATGGTTGTGATAGTCTCCCATTTCTCTCTGCACACCAGGGGTCTAATGTGCTTACCTGTAAACTCCTCAAGGAGGCTGGTTTATGGCTGCTGTGGGGAAGATTGCCTTGGCACTGCAGCAAGCTTTGCTGTGTCCCCAGAGTGCAACCCCTGTGGCCCAGCAAACCCAGAAAGTGCTGATTCTGTGCCTTTGAGATACTGGTGCTAGCAAATTTTCCCCCAATTTCTTGCTCCTTTTCCATGCTGGATGCTGAGGAGGTGAGTCAGGCAAGGAGAACCTCTCCAAAACATCACTCTTGTCTTTTGCTAAAGCCACAGGGGTTTGGATGTCCATGGGCTGTGGGACCCCAGTGAACCTTGCCATGCCCTTCCTGCATGTCCCGATGTGATCGCTCTGCTTCCAGAATTTCATTCACCAGAAAAGTCCATTTTCCCTCTTACCTGGCTGAGAACAAGCCAGGACGTTTTGTGCCTTGGTTGCTAAATTTTAATGGCTTTCGTGCAAAGGTAATTTGGAGGATTAAGGCTCAGCTCTCACAGGGGTTTCCATTCTCTGAGTGCCAGACCCTCAGGAGCCCAGTGAGACTTGTGAGTGAGTAGCAGGGCACTTCCAATGGCTCCACGAGTGACAGCAGCACCCAGCTCAGCATCCCAAACCTCTGGGTGAGAGCACAGAAATGCCACGTGCTCCTCTCCCCTTCCTCCTGCCTTTTATCCTACGTGCTGCTGGTCACTGACCTGAGCTCAGGCCCTTGGAAATATCTGTTAAAAATAATCCAAGGGCTTGAACAGGCTGGGACATGGTGGGATGTGCTGCCTGCGCCATCCCTGCCTGCTGTGGGGCAGCACTGGCATCAGACATGCTGGTGGAGTGGGGAGGAGCATCTTCTACCTCCCCCAAACCTTTTGCTTTCTGATTTTGCTCCTCTGATGATGTTTTTCTGTGGAGCAAACCAGGTAAGTTGCCTGAGCAATAAACACAAGGCACTGGAAACATCATCTTCCAGGATGCAGATGCTGCAAGAACTATCAGATGCAACTGGTGATACCATTTCTGCTTTTGCATTGCTACAGGGAGCCTCCTTCCCCTGTTTGTTTTTTTTTTTTTTGCCATTCCTCATAAAAATGAACACTTTTTTACAGCTGACCTCCGTACTGCGTATTCTGTATGGCTTATTGTGTATCTCATGGGCTTATTTTGCAGAGTGTTGTGATGTATTTTGGCCCAGGATCACAGTAGCAATTGCTGGGTGTTAACAGGAACACAGCAGTGGTGTTGAAGCTCTTTCAGCCTGGTGACCTTTGTTCCCAGGCAAACGTTTTCACAGCCCTGTTGTGTTGACTGTCAGGGTAAAAATCTTCATTCATCAGTGGAAACCATCAGCCTGTGTGTGTGTGTGAGTCTCTGCTTCGAGGGGTTGCTGGAGTCTACTTGACACGTGGGTGTTTGGTCTGTGGTATTGATCTCCCAGGTTGATTGGGAGGTAATTGTAGGCTGAAGTACTGAAGGCCACCATTGCAAGCAATTTGTTTTTCATAAAGGATTGTCGAGGCACAAGATGCTTCAGTGCCATAGCAACAAGTGTGATGTAACCGCCAGACAGAGAGCAGGAGGATGCTTATTCATGAAGCGATCCCTAGAGAGGCGCTTTCTTGGCATGGAGAACTCTTCTGCTAGTCAGAAACCTCTCACTTTGAATTACCAATGTGTATCAGTCAGAGGCTGGAGAGGGAAGATGTGCAAGACAAGCTTTGTGTCTGAGGGGGGGATAACGCTTTTCCTCTCCTCTCTCCCTGCAGGTACTGGCTAACAAACAAGGTGCACATCAAGCGACCCACCACCGGCCTTCTCATGTACACCTTGGCCACTCGCTTCTGCAACCAGATCTATCTCTACGGCTTCTGGCCCTTTCCCCTGGACCAGAACCAGCACCCGGTCAAGTACCACTACTACGACAGCCTCAAGTACGGCTACACCTCGCAGGCCAGCCCCCAC